TATATTAAAAACGTTTTAATTTGAATCTTTAGAAAAAATTTTCGTATACAGTTTTATATCACATTAAACATTAGTTTAATAAAGTGCAAGTTTTAAGTTGCAAAAAGCTCGGCTTGACTTTTAACCAAGTACCTGCGTTGGAAATTTTGTGTAGAACGAAATGCGTAATAACTTAACCAATGCTTTTCGCTTTTCCTTGCTTGCAGTTGTACCTGACGGTGAACGGCCGTTGCAAGTTTAATTGGACCCTTAAATCCAATACATATGTCTGTACGTCGAAGTGGCCCCAATAAAACAGCCACTCATTCAGCGCGATCAACTGTAACCCTAAAGATTCACTATAACCGACTGCTGTTAAAATACATGATTCAGTGAAGCCAGACCTTTTTTGTTGAGGTTAAATTAGGCGGGAGTAATAAACTATATTTTATGATTCAGTTATTGACACAGCAACTTGTTAGGTGAGGCATGCTATTTATTGCACATGTAATAAACTAATTTAAATAGACTTGCGACTGTAACTGAAGTAATAGTTGTGTTAATTACATTTGCCTGTTATTGCCATTTAAAATTCAGCTTAAAATTAATTTATTGAATTCAAACCGTAATTCATATGTCAAATGCGGATACATATGTATGCACCTACATATGTAAGTACATATACCCAGCAAACACAGTTGCAAACGTTTGAGAAAAATTTATTTCTCAATTTGATATCAAATGTTTTTCTCAAATGATTATTAAATTTAAAACGAGGTTTACATACATTTGAAATTTTTTTTGAAGAAACAACGTAACGTTATAATTATCGATACATTTTGCTAAGAATTATCCATCTCTTAAATTTATGTGAAGAGTCAAACGAGTTAAATGAATAGAAACAAATTCAAAGAGAAAGTGCACAAATAGTGAATTTGACATATGTATATGCACATCGTGAGGAAAAACTAAATAGGAAATATAAATTTCCTAAGATAATCTATACAAATAATGAAATCGTAACATGCCGATGTCTGTACATACATTATCTATAGATATTAAAGAAAAATTAAAGTGGAGGCTCTTTATTAGAGCAACAGAAGTCAAATCACCAATTTTTTGGAATTTTTGTCTGTCAGTCTGTCTGCTTGTTTGTACGCGTATCACTCGAAAATTAATGTATGAAATTGAATGCAGTTTCCACCAATGTATTGATAGAGGTCTAACTTAAGATATAGAAAGAAAGAAAGTGGACAGTTGCCATCTGTTTGAAATTTGCAGTTTAAGTAAATTGATAAGAAAAAGTAAATATTGCAATATGGCCGTCAAAAGAAAGAGGTTTAAGAAGACTTACAACCGAAAATGTTTTTTGAGGGTTGCCACCTGTTCGAAAATTTTAATTCTATTCAATTGATAAGATAAATTGAATATTGCAATATGGGTATCAAAATGAAGAGGTTTAGGAAAGTTTAGTGCCGAAAATATTTTTGAAGAGGGTTGCCATGTGTTTAAAAAAATTCTTGAATTAAATTGATAAATTAAATAAAATCTATACTCATAATAAAATTGTAACAGGGCGATGTCTGTACATTATAGATATTAAAAAAAATTAAATTTAGGGCTTAGGCTACAGAAGCCTAATCAATAATGTTTGGAATTTTTGTCTGTCTGTCTGTTTGTATGTTTGTACGCGCATCACTCCAAAACTAATGCATGGGATCGAATTCATGTTTCACCGATGTATCGCTAGAGGTCTAACTTACAATGTAGAAAAAAAACACGTAATTTTTAGCAAAAAACAAAACCTACTTCATTTCTCATATAAAAATATATATATATTAGACTGCATCACCAAAAAAGTTGCGGTTTTTCCGCCGGGATTACAAAATTTATTATATTTTAAGACGTCCACCAAAATATTTCGGAAAAATATTAAAATTTAAATGAGCTGGACCGATTTTAAAATACCTCCAAAAATTGATTTTTTTTATGAATAAAAATAGTTTCTTAAAGAACCTTTTGAAAAAGTCCCCGCAGAGGACAAACCCGATTAGGCTTAAAAATCTGCATAATAATATTAAAAAATCTTTTCAACGGAAAGGTTTTAATGAGATTTTTCATGCTGTGTTTTTACTTTTTTCAAAGATTGATTTACGAAAATCTTAAATAACTGGAATGAATAGAGTAGGCATTGCTGTAATAGCTGAAACACAATGCCGGCGAACGGCAAACTTCGCCAAATTGAGCGATGCTGTCACTCATCGTTCGCCCAGCTATTTCGCCTACTTAACCAGAAGTAGAGCGGTAGCGAAAACATCTGATACCATTTCGTCGCATTTTTAATTTAGGTGACCATATTTAGAAAAAGCGAAACCATATTTAGAAATGAGGAAATCATAATAAATATAAACATAGAACAAAGCGAAATTATTTTAAATTATTTTATTTTGAGCCAGATTTAACCAAACGATTACTGTATTGTTCAACCAACAAAAATAATTTGTGTTATATGTTACTTTCTTCTAAAAGTTTTAAAGCAAACAAAACATACGGCCACCTTTGGCATGTACTGCCGCCATCGCCCAGCAGAGCGGTAGAAATGAATATATCGCCATGAAACGCCACCGAGCGAACTTCGCATTTCGCTTTGGTTGTGTTTAGGAAATCCAATCCCGGAAGCTTGCGGGATCGAGGTCATCAATCGCGCGGATCCGCGGGCTGAAAAAAATCATATAATTTCCTCTAAACAGTTATATTCAAACTTGATATGTAAAAAAGACTATTTGATTTAGAAAATCTAAGTATTTACTTTTAATTAGGTTGACTTTTTTGATAATATTTCCGAATGATAAAGTCTTTAAAGTTTAATCTTTTAAATTCGACCTTATTTAATTGCACAAACAGGAAGTTTTCATTATGGTGATTATGGATAGTTTCGTAGGTATATGGTCAAAGTCGCCATATCTGCTGGGTATTTTTGTGAAGAAAATATATAATAATACGAGTTGCTGTAGCGTTTTATCCGATCAAACTAAGTTTTCCTGTTTTTCCGTATAACTTTTTTACCGTTTGATATTTGAAAATGGTGCTAAAGTACTATATTCTATATAAAATACTCTTGAAAATTACACCAGAGCTGAATGTGTGCCTCTAATAGACCAGAGTTATGAGTATTAGAAATTTAGCATCTAAGAGGAAGCTCAAGAAAAAAATCAATATTTCCGTTGGCACTCTTATTTATCGATAGGAACTGACTTTTCTACACTTCTATAATGTGTTCTTAAATAGGTAAGTGTACAAAGTTTTGGGTATTTATCAAGGCGAACGTTTTCAAATTTTAATCAATTACGAAGGACCACAAAAAAAAACGATGAAAGGCTAATAAAACTAAACCAGGTGTTTTAATGTCGCTGAACACGAATCTGAAGTCCGTTTTTCTCCATCACGTCAGGATCTGTTTCTAAGCTCAAAACACATTGCGCAACTCAATGAACTTCTCCTTCTGAAGTACGTCCTACAAAAGCCCTTCTGGAAGGCCTTCTGTGGGTAGCAAAAGAAGAAGCCCTTCAATTCATTACAGTGCATACAAAAAGAAAGGAGAAAGGAATGTAGAGTGGAAGGCCTTTTGAGTCTCAGAAAGGTCTTTCGGAAAGGCTTTTAACTCCTAAAAATATAGACTGGATTATAAAGTGATGTATATTTAATACACCCATGCGCGAAGAACATTTTGGTGAGCACGTTCATAACACGCATTAGTCTTTTTAAATTCATTTCCGATCCCGCAAAAATGTCGCGGGATCTCGCGTTGTTGTGTTCATTTTCATATGACTGCGGGTGTTCTATTTAGAACAGCGTCGAATTTCGCTGTGAAGAGTTCGCCGTTCGCCGGCACTGTGTTTAAGCTATAACGCTGGTATGCCGAAATTGCCAAAATTACAACAACCACTTCCTAAGTGACAACACGATATTATTATTTCACCATGATTTGAGAGTTCACCATATTCTCAAATGCAGTTCAAATTATCCTTTCTGTAATTTCTAAACCAATATCAACACATTTGACATTTGATTTCAAATCATTGTCAAATGTTTCTCAAACCTGATTGTTTACTGTGTATACATACATGTACATACAAATGTCTAAATAAAAGTACCCTGCAGAAAACGGGGCTATTTTATAGCCAACTTATAGCTAACTAACCCAGCAGTCAACTAATTGTTCCTTTTTATTACTTATTTCCTTCGGCCGTTACTAACTACTTCTGAACTGGTTTACTCTGCATTAGACATCAGCTGACTTATAGCTAACTTATTTTGGAGATAAAAAATGTAAACATTAATAAAAAGATTCTTTTTAACTTTTTAAATTTTTATTTATTTATTTTATTCAACATTACATATTTGCATATTTTTTACATGTTCTTTTGTAGGTGGTCACATATTTGAAGTCCATCAGTCATAACATCAAAATGATAATGTGAAATTTCGACCTTTATTTTATTTTTGCTGAATTCGAGAAAGCATCTGCGAAGTGCAGAAAAAAAGTTGTTAAGAGAAACCCAACTCCCGGGACGTCCGCATGACTTCTGCAGGACTTTACAACTCACTTAAAGTTAGTTTTATCATAGCTAATTAAAAGTTAACTATAAGTTGGTTATTTTTTATCATTTGATAATTTTTTCTGCAGGGTAAATATGCTAACCTGTACATATGTATATATGTAACTAAAAGCACGTGCTAATTGTCTTAAGTTATTAGCTTTAATTAGCACTTTTCCTCAAATTAGTTATCGAATTCAGCGGGTTAATTTTATTCTTTCATTTTTCATTAAGGCAAGCCAAATTTGCACATGGATGTACATATGTAAGCACTTTGTATGTATATATAATCACTCCAAAGCCGACATTCCATTTCGCTTTGCAATATGTTTCATGTACCTTTGCACATAACCGATGTTAAGTATTATTATTTTTGTACATTTGTATTATTTACCGAGATGCCCAGGGTATAAAAACGCAGTAGCGATGCATTTGCACATCAATTGTCATTTAGTATTCGTTGAGAATTGTTGAAATGAGGCTTTTATTTGTTTTCTGCGTGGCCGCAGTTGTAGTGGCCATGTGTTATGGTAGGTCTTTATATGGCAAAACATATTTTTCGATTCCCTTTTGATAAATTTTTGTTTGCAATTGTAGCTGGCGAACCTAAAAAACCGGCCAAACAGAGTGGCGATGGTGCACCGGGTGCGCCGGGCAAGAATGGTGGAGGCGGCGGTGGTGGTGATGGAGGAAACGGAGGTGGTGGCGGAAATGGTGGTGGTGGTGACGGAGGTGGCGGCGGTGGCAACGGAGGTGGTGGCGGAAATGGTGGCGGTGGTAACGGAGGTGGTGGCGGAAATGGCGGCGGTGGAAACGGAGGCGATGGTGGCAAAGGTGGAGAGGATGGCGCTCCTGGTGCTCCAGGAGCTCCAGGTCACTAATTCTGTTTTCGTGAATAAATTCCTTTGAATATTGATAAGTATGCGTAAGTATTATTGGAAATGTTTGGTACCAAACAAGTCAATCGCGTACGACCGCTTAACCTATTTTACTGACAATGATATTTACCTATGTACCTAAGGCTTGTTTTCACTATGTCTAATTCAATGACATTTGTCACCAAATAAATGGAAACACATTGTAAAATAGGACTAAATAGTGGTATATTGATTGATTTCGATCAGGATAAGGTTTAGTCGGGTACATGCGCTACTAAATCGGATATCTGTCTATTTTTGGCCCATAATACATATCAATGGTAAAGGAATGAATAAAGGAGATAAAGTTGTGTCAAAATATGTCGAGGTGAAAAACCAGCCTTAATACATACCCCGTTGGCCACACTTATCAAGCAAAACTGCAAACGAGTATAAGTTCGGGTAAAACAGAACTTTATATAACAGGCGAACGTATTAAAGGTAAACAAGTAAGAAAGTCTAAGTTCGGGCGGAGCCGAAGATTAAATACCCGGCGCAAGTATTGAATATATGTTTTTCACCTTTCCAGAAGCTACCGCTACACTGTACACTGTGTATCAATTTTAAGTAAATTAGCGTCCTTAAATGGCGAAATATTGAAGTTTCAAGCATTTCTGAAATTTATCGCTATATGAAAAGCGGCCGTAATTTCGGACCGATTCCAATCATTTTCAACGTTTTGCTTTTATGTGGCAAGCACAATAACCATACCGAGTTTGGTACAAATCGGTATAACGGTTACCGAGATACATATATGTGATCATAAGTGGGCAGTGCCACGTCCATTTTCCAAAATTGTACAATAAACGTATTTCTTGGTAAATAGTTGTTGCAAGCATAATTAGCTTTAATATTCACTTATTTATCGAATATTTCGTATTTCTCTAAATTTCCGTTATATGGGATGTAAGCCTGGTTATTGTCGGATTTTAAAAATTGTCAGCCATTTGGTATGATGTACCAAGGCCAACAACTGTGCCAAGGTTGGAAAAAATTGAAGTGTGAACAAAGTTGTAATACCCTTGTGCACACGTGCGCTCGGGTATAAAAACGATATACCCTTGTAGTCAGCTGATTAAGTAAAGTGACATTTTGACTAGTTTTGGCTATTTTTCTTTGGTTATTTAATGTTTATATTTATTACAAAATTAATTTTACATTTTTAGAAACAATTTTGGATATGCAGTTTTGTCACTCCTTAAATTTAGTACGTTGATGTGCAAATTTCGTGACGCATTGATTTTTAATAATTTTTTTCCTACTGACGGTATTGTGCATTTTCTTCCATATACATAAAGTATGCTCGACAATTTCGTTTGTATGGGAGAAAATGCTTAGCACCACCAGAACAAAAAAAATATTAAAAATCAACGCGATTCTGTAGCTCTTGAAATATGAACTTAAAGAGCTATAAAACTGTACCCAAAATTTTTCTAAAAGTTCTAAACAAAAAAGCATGATAAAAATATAGTAAGGTAGAACCGCTGAGAGGCACTTTTAAAATTCTTGACGTTTCCAAACAATTTAATTTTTAAATTTACTCACAAACTCACACACACATTTTCATTTTCAATCTCAAGCAACAACAATTTCATTTTTTTATTTTCACTTTTATATGATTTTAAAATGTTGGCAAACTTAAAAAAAAAATCATGGCCGACAAATTGAGAGAACGGTTCTACCTTGCTATATTTTTATCATGCAAAAAAGTTTAAAATTTTTTGAGTGCATTTGTTAAAGTTTGTTGAATTTTCATTATATTTGTGAGCGAAGTTTGAAATATGGATTTATGTGGAACTGGTTAGGTAAAGTGCTGAACTTTTATAAAAAAATTAAAACATTAAATAAACAAAAGAATAGCCAAAACTAGTCAAAATGTCACTTGACTTAATCAGTTGACCACAAGTGTACCTTTATGTAAACTACATGGTAAGTAACGGTGTTTTTCCAAATTTCAAAATGTTTCGTTAAAACAGGGAAACACTGATTTTGGTGCGGCAAATTTTAATGCTGCTTTTGATACACTTTTTTGTGCTGGTTACGAATCCGCAAGTATAAAGTTTCCATCAGATCCAGATTTTGAGAAAAAACGAACTCAAAATATCAAATTTTGCAATATTAGGGAAGCTCTAGATAAGACTTTCCATTTAGGCTTAAATTAAAGCTAGAACTCTCCACTACTAACCCTGTAAATAACATCCCTGCACCTTGATCTGATGGCCACTTATAGTCATGTATTGAACAATAAAAAAGTACTGAAACATTGTGCTATTGAAAAAAAAAATTGCCAAATCTGTTTTTGCTGTTCAATAAATGACTAGTAGTGACCGGCCATAGGGTCCAGCTGCAGAAATGCTATTTTTAGGGATGGTAGTTGAGAGTTCTAGCTTTAATTTAAGCCTAAGTGGAAGGTACTATCACCTTTTGTTTCTTTGCTAATGCTCCTAAAATATTGCAAAAAAGCGATCTTTTGACACTTTCACTTAGTTTTTCTCAAAATCTGGAGCTGACGGAAACTTTATAAATATTTACGGATTCGTAAACAGTAGGGATGTTGCGATACTATAAAACCATCGATACCGGAATCGAATTATGTATCATAAGCTAAGTATCGATACAAATATGTGTATTGGTATCGGAAATAAAATATCGATATTTTATGATTTTGATACAAAAAATGTTTAACGTAATATGAATGATGCAGTTAATGACAATTAAGAAGAAATCTTTAACAACTGCAGTGCGAAAGAAACAACATATAAAAAATGGCTCGGTTTCATCAGAAAGTCAGTACCTAAATCTTTCTTTAGATTTGTTCTTTGCACGAACAGATCAAATTTTTCAGACAGACGTTGTACTTAACCGAGCTTTTGTCAATCTTGGTAATGTGATTCCATACTTTACTTTTCGGCGTAAAAGCAGGTAAACGGAAATAAAAACAAAACAATGTCGTTGTAATAGTTGCGTTCCAGATAACTTCGTGTAAAAACCTGGAAAACTGTCAAATAACAAAATTACTTTCTTGAAAGAGAGGAGCAAGACAGAAAAAATAAAAGTCACCTGGAACGTGAAAAACCACTTTTCCTGTAACTACTTCCATCTTTTTTTTTAATATTAAGCGCCATGTAGACGATCAAATGTCTTTATCAACCGTTTTGCTTGACAATAAACAAGCGCACTTGCCTTCTGATCATCGCGGTGAGCAAGTGCGCGGACAAGAAAAAGAAATTGTTTGTTGAATTAACACGTTCACTTGAACGTTTGTGGGCAAGACACGAGCCAATCCCACACTTATGCAATGCTTGACGTATTTATTTGATTGTCTCCGACGCGCTTAATGTTCTTAGCTATCTGTTTTTGTTTACAAATGCAACCCTGCCTATCGTTTGACACTTTTCATGAACTTGCAGGAAAAAAAACTTCGGAATAAAACCTGCAACTTCGGACTGAGAGAGAGAGCAAGTTATTCTCACAAAAGTGGTTTGACTTGCAGGTTTTTTGGCACCTGGAACGCTTTCCTGCAAAAAAAAACTGCAAATCGTAAATATCGCGAATATCGTGAGCATCTGGAACGCAACTAATGTATATGTACGGTTTGAATANATTTATTTGATTGTCTCCGACGCGCTTAATGTTCTTAGCTATCTGTTTTTGTTTACAAATGCAACCCTGCCTATCGTTTGACACTTTTCATGAACTTGCAGGAAAAAAAACTTCGGAATAAAACCTGCAACTTCGGACTGAGAGAGAGAGCAAGTTATTCTCACAAAAGTGGTTTGACTTGCAGGTTTTTTGGCACCTGGAACGCTTTCCTGCAAAAAAAAACTGCAAATCGTAAATATCGCGAATATCGTGAGCATCTGGAACGCAACTAATGTATATGTACGGTTTGAATACATTACGAGGCCATAAAAGTATCGATACTAGTAATAAATGGGCATAGGAAATAAAATATCGCGCGAACGGTAACATAGAGTCACTAATCAGGAAATATGCTTAAATAGAATTCTAGTAATAATATGGCTTGTATGAAGATGATATTGATATTGAGGTTATTATGATACATTATGCGGTATCGAAAGAAAATACCCATATGGGTATCCATGGTATCGTCTCCCTAGTATCGAATACCGATTTACTCAGTATCGAAAGAAAAGTATTAGTAGTATCGTAACATCCCTAGTAATCAGCGCAAAAAAATCTATCAAAAGCATTAGATTGAGCGTTTTTGAATTCTAAGATAGGGCGTTCTTCAACCAAATACTGAGCTAGGACGTTTTTCAATCAAATTCTGAATATCTTGAAAAGTTTTCTGAGATAAAGCGTTGTTGAAAAATTTCTGAGATAGGGCCTTTTCGAACTGGCTGCCGAGATAGGTCGATCTTCCACTCAGCTATCGATATACTAATTATCAACTATTGCTTGTGCAAAGTTCAACTATCTCGAAATGTGGCTATTTCACTAATTAAACCGGTGCTCTGAGAGAAAGAAGTTTAGAATTAAAAAAGCGTGCTAAATTAAAAAAAACACGAGAACACATGTGCAAGAGCACCAACCCAACTCGTAATACATTTAAGTATACAAATTTTAGTATTTAGTATAGAAATATTCAATTCAAATACGCCCATATTAAAATGAAGCGATTTGCAATTGCCGATTGCTTTTTCATAATTAAGTTAAAAAAAAATTTTTGAATTCCATGCTGGTTGTAAAGGGAATTGAACCCTCAGCTACAGCCAGACATGTAAATGTGCATTTAAATGTTGAGTTTGAATCAACATCACGCGTGCGTGTTATGAAAGTATTAATTTTAAATACGAACATTTTTAAACGATAATCAAATATAAAATATTCATGTTTACTATGCGTTATTTCCCTCAGTGAATTCATAACATTTTTCTGAATATTACAACGCGTTTTTTCCCTTATTGTAGTGATTTTTGGNGTGAATTCATAACATTTTTCTGAATATTACAACGCGTTTTTTCCCTTATTCTAGTGATTTTTGGACTTTTATTCAAATGTGTGCAATCAAATTAAAAACCGGGACACTAAAACGAAACCCGGGACTTTTTAAGGCCCGGGTTGGACCGGGATACAGGGACAAATAGTCTAAAACCGGGACATGTCCGGGAAAACCGGGACGTCTGGCAGCCCTACCAATACTGCCGTACAGATT